AAGGAAATTAATAAATGAGAACAAGAACAAGTTAATGCACTACAGATCATTGCTGTTCGCCCATCTGACTCAAACTTTAAAATCTGCCAGAAGGTGTGCTCACCAGTTTTAACTGGGGACCAGCACAGACTATCATCTAGTGCTCAGAGAGAGTCCAGGGGGGTGATGAATGGTTTTGACAAGCAGTCTCAAAGTGGTTTTCACTCAGAATAGTTACTTAATGCACAAATTCTGCCTTAAATAGGTAGAATTATGCAGACTTGAAAATGGAAAGATGCTGAGATTACATAGTCTTTAGTCCTTCCAGAACAGGACTATATGTAGCACAGCTCCTAATTTCTATTGAGTGCATGTCTCAGGAAGACAGTTTTCCTGTACAAAGTATTAGATACATTATTTTTAAGTAAAACCTCAACACATTTAGGAACAACTCAAATAAAATAGATTAGACCTATGTCTGCATTATAGACAGCATTTGTGATGGTTCCAGATGTTAACTGATTCCTTCTGAGCCACATTTCGTATTCTAGATAAATGTTTATAACATGATAAAAGGAAGAATTACAGTTAAAATAACAAAAACTAAATCAGATGATGATATCCATCTTTTTCTTGCTTTTAATTTTAAACATAGTCTACTTAAGCAACTTTATTATGATACTGAAAATTAGCTTTGAACCTTTTTTTTTTTTTCATGTAAAATTGCCAGTATTTACCATCTGGACAGTAACAGCCATCTAAGCAGTGCAGATTGCTTCCAAGACAGTCTTTTTCAAAGGTGCAGGTTGGTGGGCAACAGCTGATACAATCACGGTGCACAAAGCTGTCTTCACACTTTTCAGCTGGAACAAGTACGTATTACATTGGATATTAGTGCAGTTTCTCTTGCCATATTGGAGAAATTCTATATCTACAAATAAACAGTTGTGCAACATTTCTGGTTCAGACAATTACTAAAACCAGTTGCAATGAATGAAGTGTTTGGAGGAGTTGTAACTGATAATCTGCAGAAAATCTCACATCAGTATTTAAGTTTTCTTTATCCAATTCTTACAGCATCCCTCCACTATAAGTTACAGTTCCTGGAAAATGGGAGGTAGAATAGGAACACATGCTCATAACTCAGCCAGCTCAAAGTCTTGTGCACAAGGTGAAATTACAATCGATATGTGAGTGATGACCACAAGAAACCAAAACTTAGGCCCAGGATTTACTATTCCAGTTCTGTTATGGGGCCAGCAGAGCCTGAAAGGCCATCTGGGAAGAGGAGTAACATCAAATCTCCACAAATGTTTGTCTCTTGGTCTTCAAATATGCTCAGCACATACAATGTTTCAAGGAAGCTGCTGAGACACAAATTTTGCATGAATCTAGATGAGATCACATCACAATTAAAATCTCCCCCTAAGAAGCCATTGACTTTTTTGTTCACAAGCAATAGTGAAGTTGTCTGATCTGTGTCAGGTTTGACTCCTGTAGTTGTCAACATGGAATTATTTAAAATAGGTAGTTGGAGTCACCCAGTATGCTTGAATAATACATGGATCTTACTACAGGCAGGAAAGTCATCCCTCCAGTCGCGCACAGGGGAGCCAGCGTGCGAGCACGCTCTAGCGTACTCTGTTACTGCTCTGCAATATGTTTCATCATCATCCACTCTGAAATGATAAAACAAGGGATAATCACTGCACTCAAATCCCATCAACTAATCTCTGCCACAGGACAATGCACAGGATACTTTGCATGTAGTTGACACTGCTTAATTTTAAGATGGCATGCTTGATAAAAGCACAGCAGCATATTCCATATAGCTGGTTCACAGTATTTTCATGAAGGGTCCCTTTTTAATTAGATATCACAAAAAGTTATTTTATTTTAATATTACCACAATGGACAAAAGCAGTAATTTATCACAGAGAAGATACATACTGCTTATAATGAGAAATGTGATCTTGTCACAAGGGCAACTAATGGATTAAGTCCTGTGAAACCACAAGAACCTGTGGGTGGACTCCTGACCTTGCAGTGAGGTGCTCAACACCAGAAACTGCACTGAATGTTACAGACATGCTCAGGGACTTCCAGTGTGACGTGGGGCAAAATTATTCTGAACCTTAGTCTGTAGCTACAAAGGAAGCTATACAATGTCCTTTGGCCAGATTAAAGAGATATTCATAAGTACTTAGGTGAGCTGAAATACTTTTCATAGGTGAGTTTCATCTGATGAGTTACCACCAGCTTTTTGCAACTGTGGAAGTCTATCAACTCCCATCATTCACTGTGAAGGACTTGATGCCAAAATGAACTAATCATAACATCGCATTTCTATTAGAGGCATGGCTGTGACAGGACAGCTAAGTTTACCTGTCTTTCAGCATACAAGATCAGGCTTCCAAAATTAATAGTCTCAAGAATATATTAGATTGTGTTAGTATTCTGCTTTCAACACATCTGTTATCACACTGAACACCAGTATACTGTTTTTTACAGTGATCATATTCTCTCCAGCTCTCCTTATCTAATCCAATTAAACAAGTCTTAAGAGAAAGAATACTTGGCGTACGTTATGGCCCCACAAAAACTTCCTAACCTGGCACTAAGCCACAAGAAGAGAGGTCTCTTTTATAAACAAAATAAGCCTAAATTAATGAGGTTCTGAGATACAGAAACTTCCTTCAAGTTTTTCAACATTCACACAATTCACACCAGCATACACATTCACACTGACAAAAATCGAATCCTGACCATCATGTTAGTGATTCAAGGTCACATTCAGAGATTTGATTTACATTCTTCTTTTGCTAAAGAAAAGGTACACTAAGCTCCTGGAGATACCAGCAAACAGAGGCAACTCAGCTCTACTTTCCTCTGAGAAAAAATAAATGTACACATCATCAGTTTGAGAGAGATACTTTGGAAACTTGCCTACAAATACTGTCATGAGCGTAATGGATGCTACTGAATGATTCTTCCTTTCAGTCTTATGATCCTTTTTGTATGTTTTAATCAATTGATGATACTTGCAGAAAGCATTCAAGATAATGCCTGTTATTTATGACAATTTCTTATTAATTATAAAGCCTTCACTAGAAACAGAAGTGATATATTGTTCAGTTATCTATTCAGTTACCCTTGGAGCGCCAGTTTAACTTGAATAACCAGCATTAATTGAGCAAGAGCCTGGAGCTAAGGGAAAAATAGCAGGATGAATATACGCTCAGCAGCTGGAGGTGCAACTCCCACCAAGGCCAATGAGGCCTATTTCTTTTGATATCTCTGAATTTTCATTAAAAAAAAAAACTACTAATTTGAACCATAGTGGTTGCTCTGATTTTTTTTTTTTTGTCCTAAAAACAGTCCAGTTGCACCAGACAAGTGCTCTGCTCCTGTCCCCTGCCTCAATATCTTTGATATTTGCCCCTAATAGCATGCCAGTCTCCAGGTATTTTTGACTCAGGACCTCCTGATGTAGTTTTCTGTGACTAATAACCCTCTCTTTTGTCTTTAGTGACTCTCAACAGATTCCTGTTCCATGAATTTGTCCAGACTCTCATTGAATCCATATAAACTTATACGAACCAACATATCCTTTGGCAAGCTGGCTCTATATCCTTTGGTTTCACAGGTAAATCACACATTGAGTGAACTCCACTGCTGCCTCATTCATTTTGAATTTGTTTCCTACAAACTACGTTCAGTGCCACCTAGTTCTTACCTCAAAAGAGCTAGTGGGCATTCATTCCATGCAGAGAAATAAATATACAAAAGCTTCCTTCTTACCTGCAAAGATCATTCATACAGCTAGAAATATAAGAATATGGATCTATGCTTTCATGGCAGCTGAGAAAAGGAAACTGTAGAAATATTTGGCACTTGAAGAATATGTCCTGTGCATTAAGAAGAATCAGGTAAATAACAGTTAGAAAATACATTCAGAACAAGCATAATTCTTTATAGCTTTCTTTTGCTAATCTGGGGTCTTATACCTCATTAAAACTTGAGAATCCCAGAGCTGTTACCTCTCTTATTCTTCCCAGAATTTGCCCTCTCTGCCTAGACTGGCTTGACTGCATTAGATGTCAAGCTGAGGAGCTGAGCATGTTACTTTCATATTTCCAAAATAATGAGGTGTAAGGCAGCAGGACTTGAAACTGAACTCAAGACTAATACAGGAGTGAAGAACTCTACTACTTGGCACATCCTATCCGAGTCTTTGTACTTTAAGCTGAACATCTGAAGGTCTTTACCAACAGTTCTGACCTGAATCTTCTCTTTCTCAAAGACTCAATGTGTACTTGATTCTTGTATTGTCATAAGGAAATTAAGCTTAAAAAAATAAATAAATTGCATGATTAACTTGCCTCAGTGGATTCCGCATCAGCTGGACAAGGACTGGAAAAATCTGAGGCAGTAGGTACACAAGCTGTTTCATATGGGGTTTGCACAATCCAGCTATTTGCAAATTCAGCTATGTCTTCTGTATATTCATCTAGTTTATGAAAACATTGAAGAATAGCCATGAAAATAAAAAATATTGGCAATGCAAACACAAAAGGAATTTCTGGTAGTTTTTAAGTGCATTCATTATTTCATGACTTCAGTTACAGAATATATTCAGGCTTTTTGGATGTAAAAAAAAAGACTTTTCTTTTTTCTTCTAATTTCAGATAATATTCTTCAGGTAATAAACTACTTTTCAATGAAAAGACTGAGAAAACGATATGTCAAGATGTTGAGGGTGGCTTAAATGTAAAAAATTCATATCAAATATACAAATAAGGACAAGCGTGATGCATTGTATACTTAAGAAAAAGCAAAAAAGCACTCTTAGCAATACATCTTTTTTCGTTGCAATGAAATCATAACACTGTGCAACTCTTTGTCCTACTGGGCAGAAGGAAGCTTAGGCTACAAGTCAGAAACAGACAGACACAAGGACTGTCTTTGAAACAGCTTTGACTAATACTTTAATATTTTTATGATGATCTTGTGAAAAAATGACTCAAAAATATGCTTTTTCCTAATATTAATATTTTGCTTATCTCTCCTTCTCCCCCCTTAACCACAGGGAAAGCCACAAACATATGATTGTTTATTTATCATTTGAAGGCACTTCCATCATATCCCAAGTGCTTAGCCAGCAAGAAAACACTCGAGCGCACACATAAACACTTTCTTGAACTGAGATGTTTTCCCCTAATATCTTTAACAATGCTGAAGAATAGAACAGATACTCTATCTTCTAGCATAGAATACAAAACAGAATATTTCTTCTTACAGTAATATATTTAATGTGAATATGAAAGGAAAGGTATTTCTAAATTATTTACTTACTATTTTGCAGTCTCAGATCATCAAATTTATTGCCATTAAAATTTCCACAGAGGCCACAAGGTTTCCCCTTATGATCTTCTGTCAGCTTAATATAAATACCAGAGCTTCCATCCCAAGCAAGTGAAAAACCAAAGGTAGTTTTCACTAGAATGTAGTCAGCCAATCTCTCAAGGAAAACATTTCCAACAGTCTGAGGCAAAGCTAATCTGGAAAAATAAACAACCTGCTTCAAAGATCACAGATGTGATGGGGTCATTTCTAGAAAAATATCACATGAAAAACCCACTTTCTAACTCATAAAATCCTTTTCCTAGGTGTATATTCATTTTCAGTCAGTTCTTTGTCATGTTTTTCCTAATTTTTTTTTTTTTGTATATATATCAGTGACTGAAAAATGAACACTGCAACACTGCTCTGCTGTATAAATATAACAGTTGTACCAATCATTAGCCTAAAAATATGTATCTTAATTTTAGGTCTCCAGCATGGGCATATTGAGGAATATGTGACTTCACTAGTGCTGTGACACTGTGGTCAGAGCTTCTGATGCTGTGAACACTAGCAGCCCTTCTGGGAACAGAGCACTTGTTGGGTTAGGTCTCTGCAAATGTAAGAACCTGCAATATAGAAAATATCCTTGACCACAGTATTGTTCATCCTCCTCCTTTAGCCAAAGACTTTGAAATTTTCTATATTTGGTCAACCATTAACATATATTTATGAAAGCCTTGTACTCACTTTTTCATTTGGAACAAAAATGGGTTGATGTGCCCTGAACTTTTTTTTGCCCCAATTCATGACACTGGGGGGACTTAAGATATTAGATCAATCTAGATGGGACTATGAAAGAAGTAACATCAACTATAGCTGCACATCAAGCACAGATAAAGACTGCCATGTCCAAAATGGTATCCGGATGCGCAAGGGAGTAACTAGAATTGTCTAATGTGGACCTTATCTGTTCTAAGTAGGCATGTTTAACTTCTTAGCTCTAGCAAGTTTTATGCAGGAAGTGTACCTCATCCAAGCTCAGGTCATCATGAGCATTACACATGCTCCCACCAAAACTCTGTCAGCACCAACACAGAACACCCAAGAATCCATAAAAATATATCAAATTATTTTCACCAGCTGTAAAAAGCACAACTTTCCCAAACTCCATACTATGTTTCTGCAGTAACATGTTAAAAACCTCTTTTAGAACACTTACCTAAGTCCTCCCTTTCTTACTTCATGTCCTGAAATTATTATTTCTTCTTGGTTTGAAAAAAATAAACTGATTGTCCTCAGACAAGAATATACTGAACCATAACAGTGAGGACTGTTATGAACCTTAGGAAGGAAAAATATATACAGAGTAAAAATAAATGTTTGTTCTTAATAATTTCATGCAATTTATCATTTATAATTATTCACACTAATCACTGAAGAATCCAAGAAGCTTTAATAAACAAATTAACACAAGCAGAAGACAGATTTCCAAAACTATGAGTCTCTCAGAGACTGGCAGAGACTGGCAGTATGTGACTTCCATGACCTGCTACCAGGGAGATGTGTTGAACAGATCTCAGATTCAATACTTTCAGAAATGAAAGCTGGCAAACTCCTATCTCACTAACAGCAGCACATCTACAATGTTATGGAGGTAAAGATCTCTCTCAAAAAAAAACAAATAAGTGTAATCAAGACTCAGAACAGGTATGCTAAGATGGGATTCCTCCTTTAAATCAGACTTCTTTTCCTCTCCCAACCTGCAGCACAGCATCAGCAAGGCAGTGAAGGAGCATCCTTGTCCCCAGAAACCATAGATTTTGCTCTCAGTGAAATCCATTGAAATATTGATTCTAGATTTATGTATGGTCTTGGGTTTTGCTACAACGTTTTCTGAAAACATAGAAGGACATAACTAAACCCAAAGAATTAAAATAAAATGATGGAAGATAAATGTCACAGTATCTGTCCATAAAATGAGTGAGTAGAAATGGCACTTCTATCAAATTAACATTCAGTAGGTGCTATTTTGGGGAGTAAGGAGATCGTTTGTTTATAAATAAGAAGAATAGTCTTCAGAGCAGAATTGGAATCTCCTTTCGCCCTTGTGAGCAACGATCATCAATGTCTAGAATTAGGACCCCTCTTGATCCCTCTTTTCCGGCCCAGTCAACACCAAATCGTGGCCGCTATGTAAAAAGTAACATAATTAGATAATGTCCTCTCCCCAGAGTAACCAATATCCTGGTAATAAGGGCATCTTCCTACAGGAAAAAAAAAAAAAAAAAAAAAAAAGGTTAAATCGCAATTTGTGGAAATTACTAAAGAGAATGCCTTCCATCCATAGGTCAAGAATAAGGCTTTTGAGCTGTTAATCTTCTCAGCGTAACACAGAAAAAATCCAAAATTAGAACCCAAATTCCCAGAAGGGAAGCAGTTTTCCACCAGGCAGCTGAAGCAGCATGTCGACACTGACAAACAGAGGGCTAATGCACGCGGGGGCTAAACTATCAGAACCCACTCAACTTCTACAGCCTGACAAGTAAAATTTATTGTGTTTCCAAGGTCTGCTTTAGGACCCTTTTTTTCCTACACAGGATTTCCCAGAAAGGAGAGGCCAGAGATCCTTTCTAGGATAGAGGGAGTAAGAAATACTATTTTTGTTATACTGACTTTGTTGATTAATTATCATTTCATCAGTGTTTTGAATTACTGCACATAGGCTTAGACATTTTCCAGCAGCACATTTTTAAATCCAGGTAAATAATGCGACATTTAAATCCATTTATTTTCTCCCTACTTATTTTACTAACGATGAAATGCAAGTCCTATAATAAAGGAATACCAAATGTTGTATTTCGAATGCATGTTTATATACCTACCCAAACAGTGTACTGGGGTTCTGGAGTACTACAATCTTTTGCAAAAATGTAGGAGCAATTTCCAGGGAAGTAGTAGTAGATGCCATCAAATGTTTCAAAATGATACTGTCCCCATGATTTGCAAATCCCATCTCGGTTCTTACCACTATTAGGTACTGGAGAAAACACAGAATTTCAAACAAGAACGCTAGTTAAAAATTGACAGGTTTCACAGGTATGTACAGAAGTAAGAGCTTTTAAAAGAAATAAGACCTTATAAAGGAAATATACAAAGGGACAAGAGATTCTTATTTCTTCAGCTTCAAATAAAGTTAGTAATTTTTTTTTAATCTTCAGGGTACAATTTTAATCAAGTAACATCAAAATTAATTTTTGAATTTGTTGCAGTGGGACATTTTAATTATAAGTAGAGGCAAATATTTTAGATTTACAGCAGATGCTGGGCCATGATTCTTGCTGATCCCTACACAGAGCAGATTCCAGAAAGCAGAGCTTTAGAACAGCTGATCATTTTATTTGCAATAAATCACTTTTGGGAAAGTGCAGTGGCTTTTTGATTATGCAGTTAAATAAGAAAATCTGGTTAGCTGATTATATGCCAGATAGTATTCAGTCTGGCATGGTATCTGTGTGTCATTAGAGCCCAAATCTAAAACATAGACATACCAGATGATGCTCTAAAAACTTTCATTAAAATACACGATTTGAATCCTCTTTGCTACTACTTGAGTGACAGCCCAACTACAAGCATGCAGTGAGCCAAACAGTTTTAACAACCTGCATCTTACATCTCAGCTGAATTTGAAACTCAATTCTTTTGGCTCCAGACTTACCAATTTGGCACCTGCTTCCTCGAGCCTGAAATATCTGACAATCACATTCCCCTGCCTCCGTACAGACTGCTCCATTAAGGCACCCCTGAGGACAAGAAGCTGCAAGCAAGCAGAGTAGGGTTTTTTTTCTTAGTAGAAACAGTATTTTGCAAACGGTCTGGGAGATTCAGATTTTATCTATTTATTTATTGTTAAATCTGTAGCAGCTATCTTAGCTAAGAAAAGTAACCAGCAGCAATCTCCAGTTTTCAACATTTTCTCACTTTTATACTTTGTGTTCCCTGCTTAAAAGAGACCCGGGGTTCTTTTTCTGGCTTTGAGACTTGTAAACTAGCAAAGAAGCAGAAGGTCAACCTCCTCCCAGCTAACAAAAGGTCATGTTCCCATGTAAAGCAACCAAATCCCAGTCCTCCTAATCTAGAAATACATGGGACGCGGATTACTCCAACTGGCCATATTCAGTACAATTTATACATATGTTCAGCTCCTCCCTTCTAAGCTTTATGTACTCTTTGCTGTTACACTTATGAACGGCCTAGAATATACAATTTACGAAGTCACAAACAGTCATAAATAACCTTCCCTGCATGCTAAGGAAAAAAAAAGAAAGCAGTTAAAAGGTTATTTCTGCTTAAAAAATGGCCAGAGACAGAGACTTAAGATTCCATGGGAATAGCTCGTTTTATATTACTGATTATGGCTAAAAGTAGCTTCATTAAACAGCTTTATTTTCTGTTCGGAAGCTAAGACCTTGCTGGCCTCTGCTAACCACATGCACTAAGAAAGCTCTGAGTCATCGCTCCCCAATTGAGGGGGAAAAAGGGAGTCACTACCCCAAATTTAGCAGATTTAGTGGCAGCTCCTTTCCCTCTCATAGCACCTTGGGTACAAACCCCTACAATTCCATAGAGATTAAAAAGCACTGCAAAAAAGTAAATAAATAAAATGAAAAGAAATAAATAAATACAATAAGCAGGCCTTTCTGCTCACAGCAAACCTGCATTAAAGCTGCTAATAACATAGATGGGAACCAAAAACTGGACTTTTCACAGTAAAAGCGCACACAGAAGCGAGCATGCATTCAGAACATCGACCTTTGCCGAGAAAAATCCTGTTTTTCAAGCTTAGTTTTTACCTTTTTCCATTTTAAAAACTGTTTTCCCAATATATGCTAAGGCTCTGGAAACAGACAAGGCAAAAGGTACGGCATATAAAACAGTATTACACCAGAAACCCTTTTTATTTTCTGTAGAACTGGTGAGCTATTTTTATATCTATATGCATGTATATATACGCGATATATATACGTATGTATACTGCGATACTGACCTGGAGGACTCCGGGTAGAGGCTCGGCGAAGGCGGGACTGGGAGGAGGCAGCGCGGACCTACGGGAGACAGCGACAGGCGCACGGCGCCGCTCAGCGCTTCGGACAGTGCCATGGGGACGAGCCTGGCCCTGGCCCTTGGGGACTGGAACCAACTTGTTGCAGTGTGGAGACCGCAAATGGGGGACGTGGGGCTGCAGCACCTGCCGTGGGGGCAGCAAGGGACGAGTGTCCCCAACACAGGGGAGAGCGGAGGACGGGGGGACTGGGCATGGCCGCGCAGGAGGATCGTCGCCCTCGCCCTGCACATCAGCAATATGGACAGGCACAATGGCCTTCAGACCCCTCTTTGGCTGGGGACACATGTCCATCTGCCAGGCATGGGGCTTCAAGGAACTAACTCCGGGAGCCTCTCCAGCCCTGGGCTAGTGCAGCTTGTCACGTCCTATCCCAAGAAGAGGTCACATTCCCTGGGAAAAGCACTTGGGGGTCTTTGCCCTCATTAGCCTGAGTGGGAATTTTACCAGGGTGAAGTGCTGGGTAGCTAGATATTTCCCTGGTGCATTTACTCATGGCTCTTTCATACCCTTTCGCTTTATACAGCGGTGTCCTGCTGCTTAAGCAGCTCTTACCCTGTGTTTTCATTTGGTCCCTCTCGGACATATTTACCCTCCGCTGCTCCCCACAGGCACCCACCAGCCCCCCACTGCACCGGGGGGGGGCCTTCACGTGCAAAAAACTTTTTTTCTCCTTCGCCCCCTGCTCAGCATTCTCCATGCTTAGAGAGGGCTTGGAGTTTGAACTAATGGATCTCAAAGTGACCAGGGCTGTACAATAAACATTTCAGAGTAAGTCTCACCAGCGCTTTACACAGTGACATAAATGCTTCCCTTTTCCCCCTGTAAATACTTTAGTAAAGTTTGCCTTTTTCATGGCAACAAAAATCAGTCTGGAATTGAACCAGATCACACAGTGAAAGGGTCCCCACTTCAAAAGCAAAAATTATTCTTAGTCCTAATGGCCCGTCATTATCCAGAGCAGTTCCTTATCATCACTAGACAAAAACACCCATTTCTGTTACCCATATTCAGTTACTTGGAGCCAGGCCTCCCCAGCAAAGCAGTTTATTTTCCTGTGCATTATTTTTGAGGCACATCTCTGCTGTGACACCAATTTCCTATTGCATCCCCTTCTTCTTCAAGTGCAGCCCTAAGCACATGGTGGGGCGAGGGAGTCCCCAAGCTGCAGGAGCCCAGGCTGTGCCATGGACATCCCTGCAACAACAGCAGGAGCCTCGTCTATGGTTTCATCACTGCTCTTTTCCCCAAACACTAACAACTTTCTGGGCCACAAAGGACCGAAGAGCTGCACTTTTATTTCCCATGGTGTGTATCCATCAGTTTGTCAGGATGGGTAATTCAGGGAGCATTTTGATGGGAATGAATGAATGAATGAATGAACGAAGGCTGTGGGCTAGGGTTTGAGGGAAGCAGGTAGCTGCTCCTCTGCACTGTCCTCCTGTTCCCGCTGCTGTTCTCCTTACAAAGGCTCCCTTGTAAGCAGAGCCAAGCCCCAGAGCAGAAAGGGAGGGAGGGTTTCCCCCGCTCACGCTTTCGGAGGTGTAACCTACCTCTGCTGCTAAGAGATCTCTTTTCTGTCGAACTGCATTAAACTCCGTTCTGGAAGAAAACAAAAAGGATCTTGTATAATCAAAGGTCTCCGGAGCAACCTGAATAAGCAGTGCCCCTGAGAGAGGTGTTTCGCTCTGATTTCCATCACTTTATCAAAGAGGTCTTTCTTGGGTTAACATTTAAAAGGTGATTTTTTTTTTTTCTTTTCATGGTCTCCTTTTACAGAATTCGACAGTGCTCCAATCTCATCTCTCAGATTTTGGAGGCTTGTTCAGGGAGGTGCAGAGGGCTTACAGGGGATAGAACCTGAGCAAAATAGACTAATATGACAGGATACAAAACTGTAAAGTTGCTTCATACATACTCAACTGTGCTTGTGCAGGGAGTTTTCCCAAGGGTTATTTGAAGGCACTATGATGGCACCTTTAAACACAAAAGATGACTGTCCAGCTGTAACTTGCTTAAATTCATGATTAACCTTTTTCTGTTTTTTTTTTTTTTTTGAGAAACAATGGCACCAAACTACAAAACATAATTTTATCAACAATCCAAGATGTTATTATCATTTATTATGCATGTGTGTTCACTAGATGTATCAGAGGTCATTAGACGCCCAAAGCTATGTTTAACTGAACACTTCTATTGAAATTGATGGCATAGTTCCCATTTAATTCAATGGGATCAAGAACATTCCCTAGTTTGGGTTTTGTTTGGATTACATCTTCTACATAAAAACATGTATTGAAAGTGTTTATTTTAAGGCAGTATAGCACTTGCTTTTTTGTGCTTCAAATAGCAGCTAGGATTTTATCATGCAATTAAAAATGTTAGAAGGATACTCATTTAATGTATTTTTCCAGACATGAAATAATGACCTCACCCTAATTTCATGCCATTATTCCTCTAAACTTTTTCTTAAGCTGGAGAAGCATCATTTTTCATTAAGTACCTCGATTTTTCAAAAGGAGGATCCATGGCCTTTATGTAAATTCTTTGAAAAGAGTTGTAAACATTGTAAAAGCACATTTTTACATCCAAGCTACTAAAAATTACATGGCACATTCAAGACTACATTTTACTTCCTAACTTGTACTGTGTCAGATAAGCCTTATTCATTCTTGTTCTGGTTGTAAGACTTGACCAATAGGGAACAAAAACTTACCTTGAAGTTCTTTTCAAAAGAGAGAACTTGCAATAAGAACCTGTGGATTGAAAATCATTGAGTTAGTTTATTTTTTTTCTACAGCCTCACTCTGCATTTGACAAACAACCATTTCTTAGGTTTAAAACAACACTGGTGAATTTTATTTTTTAAAAATACAGCTAATGATCCTATGTTTTCCAGAGAATCTTTACACTGCCAGCAAGAAGAGGATCAAACCAGAACTGATAAAATACAAGAGGTGCTCAGAGCCATCCAGAATCATATTTCTATATAGACCTATATATATACTTTTATATATATATATATGCATATGCCTATAATAATTTTCTGCATGTTACCTATAAAATTCAATCCCAATCCACTGAAAAACATTCCAGATCCCAGACATTTCTTGCAATGAGAATGTTCTTTCTCATTTTGCCTTTGAAGTCTTTATAATTGCTCGAAGGGGACTGTTTACAATATCCATTTGCACTGCATATACCGATAAAAAAAATGGTAGTTTATATAACCAGAAGAGTGATTATTTATTCTAGACTCTATTCTAGACTCTATTCTAGAGTCTAAAAATGTTCAAACAAATTGCAGGTGCAGCCTGCACTTCATCAAAAAAATTATACTCTATTCAAAATCATTATCTGATTAGGCATCTGACAATAACAAGAAAGATCAGGAAATTTTGTTCTTCAATTCTTCTATAATAAAATTCAAGTTTAGAAATGCTTTTTTTTTTTTTAATAGAGGACATATTTTGATTTCAACAGCAGTTAGAGAAAATGGTGATATATGTTTTTCAACTGGTGTTATTCTGCCAACTCCAGTAAGGGGCATAAAAGTTTTATCTTAGAATGACAGAAAAAGAAGTACTTGTATTACTAAAATATTTAGAAAAAAAAATCTTTTTAAAAGCTAGTGCTAGCATAAAAATTGAGTAATGATCTTACCTTGCAAAAAGAATAGCAGAGAATGAATCAAGAATATGCTCCAAGGTATCATTAAATTGAGCTTTCCCACAATGTTCATTTCAATATAGCTTATAAATAGAGAACTTATCCCAATTAATGGCTTCGATTACGATGGCATCTTAGAAATAAGTATTTCTATTGCGTGCTTAAATCCTTTAAAAATTAGATAGATTCATTATTTAAAAGTATACAACACACAAAAAAAAGGAAAAGAAAAAGAAAACATCAAGCTTGGTAGCCACGTAGAGCTTTGCACGTAGAACCTGCAAAGCTCAGGAGCTTTGCAAAGGTTGCATATAACTTTCTAGCCGCACGTCCCTCATTCAAGATGCATGGTGCCTGCTCGGCAGCCCGTATTAGTTACCCTTCCACCAGAGCCGCGAGTGTCACTTGTCTATGGGGTTGAATCGGCCCTTTATAGACAGCAGACAATGAACGGGCCGAGGCGCGGCCGTGTCGTGACGCTCTGAGAGCTCCCCGCAGGCGTCACGTCACCGCCGTGCGCATCAAGGCTTGCGTCAAGCCCACTGCCCTTTGCACACTTAGGATAGGGAAAACTTGCAGCTCTTTTAACACCTGCTCCGGTGTTACTGCGTAAGGGAGCAATACGGTAACCTCTAACAAGAGTTTGGTTTTAATGTGCCTCATTGGTCCTAAAAGGAGGGACATAAACTTCCATTAAATAACACATCTGGGTTTTGAGGAATATTTATAGATACTTTCATTGGAGTAGAGTCTCCTTATGCCACAAAAGAAAACTTCTGAGACATTTCTTTTTTAATAGTGTGCTTTGAAAATCCCATTAGCAAAAAGCAGAAAAGTCAGCCAAGCTAATAGGTTTTATTCCTATTTTTCCATCAAAATATATTAAAAAAAAATCAAAAATAAAAATGACCATGGTTCAAATGGAAAAAAATTACTCAATCCTAAAAATTAATAGAATCATTACAAAAGTATAGTTTCAAAAACATTGCTTATTAAAACTGCTACTGCTACTAATCTTATTTATAAAGCCTCTCTTGCCTAAACCTCCACTCTTCCCAAGATGTGTTTTGTAGAATGCTCACAGAATCCTACAAAATTTAGTTTTGAATCAAAGTAAGTTCAGAACTTGATGACCTCTTGGGTGAAAGATTTAAACCCCCGGTGAATTCTTTAAACCCTTTCTCTTGTTCTCTCCCAGTTGGGCTAGGAGAGAAGGCAAACAGGTAATCCCACCAAATGAATATTTACTAAAGACCCACTGAAAGGTGGTATTTGCCCATGTTGTGTTTCATTATTCCATAAATCCTAAAGCAAACATATTTCCTAGCTTGGAGACTTTATTCATCACTTTCTTTAATCTGTCATCTGCATCAGTAGCTCTGAATGTGGAGCAGAGGATTGAACAAATCATTATTGTCCTATGAACATCAGTAATATGTAGTAGTCAAGCAGAGGGGATAACCTGAGGCACGTTTGTATCAATGGACAAACACAGAACTTTGACTCAATTTCCTGGCTTGCTACTCTTGATCAGTTGTTAAAGATGCAGCTGTGCACATGGCTTATACCACCAGGTATGGCAGATCGTGAAATGTTGGATCTCTGTTCCCATAAGTGAAACATTTGGATCTGAAAGGCTGACATCCACACAACACACATTTCATGAGGACTTTTGCTTTTTTTTTTTTTTTTTTAACTAGCTTACGGCTAGTCCCATGGGCTGAATGCTCAGCAGCAGCTGGACTGCATCCACCGGTTTAATTTCATCGGCTCCACATGGTCCGAAACCACTCCATGCTGCAAACTAGCGCAGAACTGAACTCCTCCTTCAAATTAAAACACTAATGTAGTCATGCTCACACAGTGCAGACGTTAATGCAGGCATCTGTCTTGTAGGAGGTGGCAGGGACTAATTGACTTTAGTCTCTTGTAAATTTGTTGTTAGATGAAAATATCTTGTAGCTGCATAATCCAGCATTAGAGCTTCCAAAATGCATCACCAGCTTCTTACTCTATTTTCAAGTTAAAACTGGTTCCTCATTTCAAACGCAGAGAAAAAAAAGTCCTGACCTGATCCGTGACCTAGGACTCTTCCATTCCTCAAGCCTGTATTACACATCAGGCTTCATATACAAATTCACAGATTAATCCATTAATACGTGTAGACTCTTTTGGCTCAACAGGAATTATTTTAAGTAGCATTTTCCACAATTATTTGGTAACTAGGTTGAGGAACATTTGGTTCCTTACCATGTTAGCATTTCACAATTTAACTTCTGATACTTAGAAAGCAGACTAAGCTATAAAGAGGCTTTGGAAGAGTCAGAAGAATAGGTTTCATTAGGCCTGGTTATCACTGTTCAGTGCAGGGTGGGAAATAGCACAGTTCCAAAGACATTAAGAGTATTAGTTAATAAGAAAAAGAATTATTCAGTCAGGTACACTGAACTACTCACAGGACTATTTTAAGAAAGCAGATTTTTTTTTGAATTTTTGCATCTAATTACATCCTGACAATGACTTACATTAGCTACACAAGTAGTAGAATGTTCACAGATTGTGACTTCTGAAAAAACAGAAAAAGAGATTGTATTATAGAAAATAATCACATTGGTAAGAAAATGATCTCTGAGAAGACACACTAGCTTACATTTAAAAAAAAACAAGAAGTGACATGTTTAAGTTATACATTTTTCTTTAAAAACTTCTCAATGTTTATACATTTGCCTATTAAAGTCAAAATTAATTTTCCCTAGAGTTCTTAATATAGTAACGACATTTAAGAGGGCTTAATTTTATATACAGCTTACGCAGTTTCCCAGGGCTCATAGCAATGGGTGTGAACAGAACAGCCCTCAGTGACACAGGTTCAAGTTCTTGCTTGTGATCTGCGATATCCCCAAAAAATAAAAATAAATAAAAATATACTTTTTAGAATACCCAAATCTTCATTGAGCAGCTATTTTCAAATAAAATTCAGTTAGGGTCACATTTTGATGTGTTTGTCTGATCTTCTTCCTAGGGATTAACAGCAGCGAAACGAATGAAAGAGCTGGACCACAGAGAGCTCAGGAGCAGTCCTTGCATTCCAAGAATCATCCCCACGGTGCCTTAAGAATCTCATCACGGGGTCCACGACCCGACTGCTGGCACTTCTCCATGGGAGGATGGCTGGATGCAGTCACATGAGCCAGAGCCGCCAGCCCCATGGAACCTGCCCAGCCCCACAGAATCGTGACACCAGAAAGGGAAACATTGTGAGCAAGGGCTGCCTTTCTCCATCTTCCCAGGGCTGGTGGTACTTCCCCAATGAGGTTAAGCCCTCTAGTGGTTAATCAGCAAATAGCCATATAGGGAGAAGATTAAAAACAAACAAAACAAAACAAAAACAAAAAAAACAGCCCTTCAGCACCCAAGCAACCCCCTTCAAATAACATTTCTCCTTTAGAAAATAAGTCTGTGGGAATTACATGGCTCTTGGGGATTAATAGGGCACTTTCATAGGAGCTCTAGGGGATTAATAGGGCACTTTCATAGGAGCAGAGTTAAGTTGGGAAAGCATTTTTATTATGTTAAGAGCTTTTTGTTTGAAGAAAAAATAAAGAGATACTATCTCCGGATATATTAGTAGCAATGTGAGCTTTATTTTCAGCCTTTCCATAAGAGAGCAACAAAAGAAAAATCTCCAATCGTTACAAGCTGTTCTGTGGGCAGCAGAACAGATAAATCTGTTTTGCCTGTGACTATGAAAACCACCCCATGATTTACCTCCTGGGGTTTCTATCTCCCCATGGTGCCTCCATGACTTTCACCTCCCAGTGACTCTGGATCCTCTTATTCCCTGCATTTCATTGCTCCAGCAGTTAAGTCAGAATCGGTTTTGGATGAGCCGCAGGATATTCTCTGTAAGTGCCAACTGGCAGGCTAGGACTCGTTTCCTAAGCAGGCAGAGAGCCACTGCTTTTCAGTAACCACGTGAGCCAAAAAAAAAAGGGTTATTTATCCTCAGCTGAAGCTAATTAACATCTATGGAAAGGGCAGTCTCCACAAAACACATAGGAATTCAATAGTCAAATTTGGAGTTTGACCAACCTCAAAAGCTGTAGTAATTACAGAGCGTCTTTTGCTTAGAAAGTCAAACTACAACTCTGAAATAAGAAACATGAGCAGTCTCTAGCAGACCCGAGAGCTAGAATACTTTGCCAGCAACTGTGTTACAAATGAGAAACTCAGAGGAACTACAGATTTCTGATTGCCACCACTGGATGGGAAATAGGTCAGATCTGATGTAGGGACAGAGGAAAGCAAATTACTAAGGAGACAGAAACACCAAAACCAAGTTCTGGAATATTGTTTGCTTGGCATTGGACAAAAAGAATCCAGGCAAGTAAACTGGCAGTAGCACGTGTAATAGTCCCTTCCGCTGAAGTGGAAGGGCAAAATTTTGAGTATGACTCTTTTTAGGTCAGGTAATGCACTATTTTCTGGTAGACCCTGAAAGCTGAACTGGGAGATGGATACGAAATCCATTTTCACAGCATATTCCTTCAAAGCTATATGTTTGATGGTTGATAATTACACTTCAAAGCACAACTGCTTTCTAGAGAAAAAGCAAAAAGACATCATAACAAGTGTTAACATCTATAAAAGCCATATTTTCCTGAGCCATAGCAAAAGGGGGAAAAAAACATACTATTATTTCAAACTCTCCAATTCAATCCATACAGAAAGTCAGTTTTACTGCCTGGGTACACTGAAATGACCTACCATTAAATGAGTGAGAAAAGAAACCGCACTTTGGAAGAAAATTCTCAAGTATCAAGGTGTTTCTATGTAGTTCACTATTGTCATGCCAGGATATGACAGAGGGAAAACCCCCAGCTCACAGAGCATTCTAGCCAAAGCCAGGCTCTCAGTTGATTAAATCCCCAATGTTTCTCCCACTTCCTGTCCAAAGGTTTTCCAGTGTGGGGAAAATAAAATTTCTCCAGCCCTAGGTATATCATGATCATATATTCAACTTTGGATTGGTCACACTGCCTTCCTTAAGGGGTTCAATTACATCCCCCATCTCATGATATAAGCAACATCTAGCTTGCTGCCAAATGCCTTTTTTTTTTCTTAATAAGTTATTCACATGCTTGTTCCATGTCCACATGCCTCTGTACTTGTATTTGAGTGAACATGTAGCCACAGAACGAATATATCTCAGCCCAACATTTGTAAAACACTAAGTCTTTTCTATGTTCAATTACAAAATAATATTTCCATAGCCTAAAACATGCTGGTTGTTATTTTAGGGGCTTCCTAGACATATACACACTAATCCGTAAGTTTTTATTTGCTGTCTTCTGATAAATACACACTTATCAATAGTAGGAAGCCTTTTATTTTACTGCCAAGTCTTTGAACTATTTTAATTGGGTTCTACTAAAAAGGCTTAGAACTGTCAAAACCCTTGTTTTCACTTTAATCATTATGCATTTGTGAGCCCATGCGAACTAACACATATGGAAAAATGCATTTATCCCTCTTCCCCACCCCCTCCCCCCAAAAAATCATAGAAGTAGAAAATATTTATCAAATTCTTTTCGTGTTTATTAACTGTCACGAGACAGTAGAACAACTTTAACGGTAAGACTTCTGGTAGCGTGCACGGGCACCAGGTCCTCCAAATTTCTTGGACTCGCAACGGCGCGGATCTGCAACCAGCAGAGTCCTGTCATACTGGATTAGAATATCCTTGATCTCTTTCTTGGAGGCTTCATCAACATCTGTAAGAACACAAAATAATCTTCCAATTACATTCCAAAAGGAATTAATCTATACTAGCATTTTTTTTTCTATTTTGCAGCAAAACAATCAGAATCCATTCAAGGCTAGCAGAGCACAATCAAAACAAGGAACTTACATTTTTGATAGTAAGCCACCAATGCTTTGGAAATAGCTTGACGGATAGCTGTTAAAAGAGATGACACATCAGTAAGGACACAAAAAGCATTCAATGTGCCCATTTCAGAATCCTGTTTGAAGAACTTGCTTGGCTTCACTTTCTGCCAACTTGTCCTTTCCTTCCATCATTTCCCCTCCCTCATAGTCCCTGTGACCTTTACTTTAGCAATTCCTAAGACATTTATGCCAACAAGAGGCTACCCTGAGCTCATTTACTCATCTGACAACTGTCAGCTACTCAAGAAATTGTCCAAGGGCAGTGTGAAGCACTGAGATGCACAAGTCAAGTGGCTTGAGCTTTTCTAGCTCACATAGAAAGCTGCACACAAAACCCTACCATAGATCTGTGCTACGTGGCCGCCACCCTTGACACGGACTCTGATGTCAACACCAGCAAAGCGCTCCTTGCCCAGGAGCAGGACAGGCTCGAGCAGCTAGGGAGACAAAAATAAGTAAATTTAGTTGTCATCAGAAAGAACTCCAGTTTGCAAAGTTATAAAGTGTTCTTAAAGATGCACACCTGACTCTACAAACACTCAAGTTATACATCTGTCTTGCAGAGTTCTTTGATATCCACCAGCACAGACCTAAGCATTACCAAAGTTTGGTGGGTTTTTTGGTTTTGTTTGTTTTTTAAGTTTCTAAAGTTTTCTAAGTTTCTAAAATCCTAATAGCAAAGCAGATGCACACAGGAATTAAGAGCAATGGAAATAAATTCCACAATTTCAGCAGAAGGCCATAAAATACTTGTGGTTTTTCTTCTCCTTTACTTCTTATATCTTATAGACAGCTAACTAATCTTAGACTCTTTCATGAATGGTCAAATGGCTATTTGCCAAGCTCTAAAGCAACATTCAAGTCACCAATTTAAATTAAAAATAAACTAGCCTAAAGTGCTGAAAAATCCTTCTGATGCCAATCAGAGCACAATTCAATAAGAATTCAATTTGTGCCATCTTTGTACTCCATAGCACCTCATATAATATGCTCAACTCCCTTAAGCTCTGTTTATAAACACACGTGTGCATTTTACTATACCACAATTACAACACACAAACATTTATCACAGTAAATCTTGCAACTCTTTTCCTTCCCCAAGTCATATAAAGTCATCTTAATGTACACACAAGACAGACACTTACTTTATACTGCAGAGTCCTGGGCTCGATCATTTCCAGAGGTCTGCCATTCACTTTAATGAGTCCATTCCCTCTCTTGCAGTGGGCAACAGCAGTTGCTGTTTTCTAAAAACCCAAGCATGCATTATAACAACACTTACATATATAAGAACACCACACACACATATATATGTATGCATGTATATAAGCAAGGTAAAGAAGCTTTCTGTGGAGCTTGAACAATGTAAAAGTTCTACTTTAATCCCGAAGATGAGCATTTTGCCTGAAACAAAGCGGTCCTGCCAGCTGCTCACTCGGAGCACTCCGACGCTGCCTCAGGGAAGCTGCACGAGCTCCCCGCGGCCTCTCGGCGTCGGCTCCGAGCAGCGCCCGCCTCCCCTCACCGCGGCCCCCTCCTCACGCGCGGCTACAGCGAGGCCCAAGGGGGCCGCTGCGGCCTGGCCACTGCCGAGCGCTGCCCGGGCCAGAGGAAAGCGCGGATCCGTGTGAATCCATGTGGGATCCCATGCGAGGAGACCTCCCGCTCCCCGCCCCGCTCAGCCCGGGC